AATCTAACAAATCTCCATTAAATACATACTGAATTCTGTTTCCCGTGTATTTCCAGAGCAGGTCCTTCTCCGTTTTCAGTTTTTTCACCTCATTTGAAACAGCCTGAGAATTTCCTCAAACCTCATCTCGTAGAGAATTTAACTCTGCTTTCCGCTCTTTAAACTCACTCAAAAGTTCCCTCAAAGTATCGTTTAACTCCGATTGCCCGCTCTGCTCCGTCATAGTGTAACAAAGCTAAACGGAGAAAAAATACGTCCTCTCAGCCGTGGTACCCCAAGCTGAATGACTACAACCTGGTAGGATTCCTATATAGTATTGTAATAATAGAATAGTATTTGTATGACATATATTATACATACATTGTATAGTATTGTTGACATATATAGTATTTGTATGACGGGGGCCTAAGGCCACCTATATAGAATTGTAATAATAGAATGGTGTATGATGGGGGCCCAAGGCATGAATCAATCATACCGCGGTTGAATCATTTCTACCGCTGTTAAATCATTTATACCGCAGTTGAATCATTGAGAAACGAGGGAATAGAGACACCGAGAGAGCGGGCGAGACGGTTTGAGAAAGACACAGAGAGAAATATATATATATTCTCAGCAAAACTTCATTATTACATTACGTCGTCTGGCGCGAATTGTAACTATGACGTAGTGGACGTGCGAGCGTTCGCATGTATTTGCGCGTACGTGCGTCCGCGCGTGCGTGCGTGCGTCCGCGCGTGCGTGCGTGCGTCCGCGCGTGCGTGCGTGCGTCCGCGCGTGCGTGCGTGCGTCCGCCCGTGCGTGCGTGCGTGCGTGCGTGCATGCGTAGTGCGTGTGTGCGTGTACGCGTGCTTGTATAGATAGTCTTAGATCTTTGTTCTTGGCTTTATTTACACTCGCGGCAAAAGCAATGGTAGCGAGAGCTATCATCCCTTTCTTCATTCTCGATAGCTACCACACGATTTACTGCTTCGTAATAAACTGAACCAGTAATAATGCCTTTATTTTGAAATTTGATGAGAGAAGCCGTGTACTATACAACTGTAAAATAGCAATAGTAGTAATGATACAAAACATGCGTTGTGTAAATGAAACCGATAATAATTACAATGCTAGGTACTGTAGAAGTACGAGTCAATATCAGCTGAGAATAATCTAATTGTAATCCAACACTTCCAAAGTTCTTTCCACTTCGTCACCACGTCTCGCTTCTCTCTGGCGATCGCCCTCATTTGCCTTTGCTGTTCCCTGCAAATAAACATGAGACACATAAAGATTATGAGATACATAAAGATTATTCATGAAATTCTCCGATGTCATTTCGAAAGCTTACGGGCGTATATTGTCACACGAGAATTTGAGTTGCGTTTGTGTTGAGTTGCGTTCGTCTGAGTCCGTCTGTGTCATACCTAGCACGCTACAGGTATTCGTCATGGTGTGTTTACAGCATTGTACGCTCTATATTGAGATTAATGTGATTTTCCATGAGGCAACTCCAAGTATAGTGACCCGCTACCTGAACTTTTTTATTGACTCTGGCACTGGAAAGAGCTTTCACGAACAGGGGCGAGTTAAGCTTCAGCAGATATAGATGTGCCTGGCTAAAGAAACTCTCCCTATATTAAAACTCACCATATATATATATAGGTATTATTAGCTCTTGATGTGTGTGTGTGTGTGTGTGTGTGTGTGTGTGTGTGTGATGTAGTGTGCGTGGGCGTGCATAGCGTGCGTGCGTAGGCGTAGCAGCGCGTGTGTGTATGATGTGTGTGTGTAGTGTGTGATGCGTGGCGTGCGTGCGTGCGTAGCGTGCCGTGTGTGATGTGTGGGTGTGTCTGTCTGTCTGTCTGTTTATGCGTGTGCGTGTGCGATGTAAGTGTCTGGGTCGGCGCACAAGGCATTTGAGGATGCCTTCTAGGACCTGCTTGTATGTTCCGCTGGTGCTTTCACGAATGCGCTGTTCCAACTCCTTCAGAAAAGCCGTCTGGAAATGTTTCTTTATATCGTTCAAATCCACCTGGAGCGTGAGTAAAACACCGTCATATAACGCAGTGTGACACACGGTCCTGTGCGCTCTAGTCTGTACGAATGTATAATAAATACTCACATGATATGTAATATTTTTATTCATATATAATATTATATATATATATTGTAGATAGATTAAACACAAGACATAAAACTTTTTGCTGTTACTCAGAGTTTCACGCTTGCGCGAATCATCAGACAACTTTAATGAAGTAATCTTAATGATTTATTCAATTAAAGTTGTTCTGATGATCGCGCAAGCGTGAAACTCTGAGTAACAGCAAAAAGTGATGTCTTGTGTTTAATCATATCTTAGCAATATATATTACGGCTCTGGCAATTAAATGAAGCATTGAGCACTCTACAGCCAGTGTAGAACT